TAACAATTTTCGACTAGCTGTGTCCATACAGCTGCGAGGATGGCTCAGTTGTTAGAGGCGCTGACTACAGACCCAAGAGTCCGTGGTTCGAGTCTCTGGCATGACCAAACTTTGACCCAGATTGGGGAGAGTCGCCAGCTCTCTGTAATTCCAGCCGTAGGAATCACGAGGTGTGGTCACATTGAAAGGAAGGACCAGGACACTGCTCATTAAGCGTAGCTTATCAGTGTCCTAAAAAAACTACCTTCGGATGCTAGGTAGCAACAAATACAAATACAAAAGAAAACGGACGTTTGTGAGGCTTGGAACTAGCGCAGTCAGAAAAAATCGCATACCCCCGTGATTGCTTCTCGTCCGCCTTCAACGCAAAATTCGAAAATTTCCGTCGGAGCAAGAACGCTGAGTTTGAAAGGTAAGAACTAATTGTTTTTGGTGTAATCGTTTCGAATTGAGATCTTTCTGGCTCAGCAAAGCCGCAATTCACCTCTTCGAACTAAAAATAGGCCATTTTACCAAGTTTTCTTTTGTATTTCAGCCTTATCAATTCGACCTATTTCTGATGGAAAATGGAAACTTAAGTGACACCAAAAGACATGGAAAGCCGGTGTCATATGCGTTTCGGTAACCTTATGCATTTCGGTCCGGGTACACAAACGCATGGCAATTTTGGTTATGCAAAAAGGTACCCAAGCACTTAAACAATAGGTAACCAAAACGAATGGTAGAATTTAGCATGCATTTTGGTCCGGGTACACAAACGCATGGCAATTTTGGTTATGCAAAAACGTACGCAAGCACTTAAACAATAGGTAACCAAAACGAATGGTAGAATTTAGCATGCATTTCGGTTCGGGTACACAAACGCATGGCAATTTTGGTTATGCAAAAACGTACCCAAGCACTTAAACAATAGGTAACCAAAACGAATGGTAGAATTTAGCAAGCATTTCAGTCCAGGTACACAAACGTATGGCAATTTTGGTTATGCAAAAAGGTACCCAAGCACTTAAACAATAGGTAACCAAAACGAATGGTAGAATTTAACATGCATTTTGGTCCGGGTACACAAACGCATGGCAATTTTGGTTATGGAAAAAGGTACCCAAGCACTTAAAGAAGAGGTAACCAAAACGAATGGTAGAATTTAGCATGCATTACGATCCGGGTACACAAACGCATGGCAATTTTGGTTATGCAAAAACGTACCAAAGCACTTAAAGAAGAGGCAACCAAAACGAATGGTGGAATTGGGCCTTTCTCTTTGAACTGCACTAAACTAAAAAAAACTAATTTGTTTACGAAAAAGCTTAGTTGCAGACATAAATTCAATTTGACGCATGAACCCAGGTCATAATAAAAGGATAGTGAAGAAAATCTAGAAAAACTCTATTCAAAAGGTAGTAAATATGTGATTTATAAAACATCAGCAGGTAATATGAAAAATTAAAAAGTAAACTCAGATTTTAATTAAAACTCCACCACGTGAAAACTGTTGAATATCTGATGGCAGAAGTTCATCTTTCACAATGGAAAGATCGATCTCGGATCCTGTCACCGAAATATCGATCGAGTGTAAGCAACTTTGTTTGACACAATAAAAATAATTTTGTGCACCTTGGTGCCATTTACCATCGCGCTTGAGATAGAATGGTTTGGAGCTGTAGTGTCCGATCAGAAATCTTTGCATTGCTTGCTGCTTTTCCTTGAAGGGGGCCCTGCATGCTTCACACCTTTTGGCTCTTGTTTTTTGGCCAACCTTCATAATCAAATATCTATATTTGATTTTAATTTTTGAAGCTTTGGGTGTTGCTAGGACTTGTTGTGGAGATCCTGGAGGACTCGGATTTTTGATTGCTTTTGCTACTGCATGCACGAGCTCCGAAATGCAAACAGCGCACTCGAAATCTTCGTTGTCTTGGAGTTTCGTCTCTCCTTTGCACTTAGCATGGATCCATCTTGGGCATGACATACATTGTAGCTAGAAAAAAAAAGCAAGTTTCTCGTTCTAATTTGTTTTCTGATTTTTACAAAAATTTATTATGTGACGAATGAATACTTGTAGTTAACTTTTGGTGGTCAAAATAGATAGACGATCAAAAATGGACTTTTTCCCGTTATTGTATCGTCGGGTAAGTACAGATGTAGAAAATTCCTGTATTTAACTGTATTATATAATTCTTTTGTTGAATTGATAGCCTTGAAGTTTAAAAAAAATTAAAGAAAATTGCCCAGTCAAGTACTTACTGTAACAGCATCACCTTCATAAAAAGAGCAAACGCTGCACCATCCATTTTCTCTGCCATCTGCAGTATGAAAAAAAAGGGTTGTGAAAATTCTTTACATGAAGATCCATTTGAAAAGCAGTCCGCTGGTCTGAAAGGGCTACAGTTTTAAATGAAAATGCAAATTTTCAAACTAAAGCAACAATTACAAAGCTATACAAAGTATTATGCACATGTTCAAACATTTGCTGATGTAGAATAACTGTATGGAAAAAATCTTCAACGTTTTCACTTTCATATATTTTTGCAATTAAGTGAGAAATATCTCACCTGACGATGCAACAAGTAATTCTGCGATTTCTTTACGGTATCTCTCCAAGTCCGCAGTTTTATTTGCAATGTTTGCGTGCCCTTTAGCAATACACCTTTCCCGAATTCCATTAGCCTTGCATCCCAGTCACCTGGAATCGAGGACAAGCTTGACAAAATTTGTTTGTAGCGGAAATCATGGATGTCGACAATACTTCTTCGGCCAAGTTTCCTTGTAAAAACGTCGAAAAAGTTGCAGAATCTCAGGTAGAATCTAATGTAAATATCGTTTGGGGGAAAAGCTTGAAGGAAATGCCACTTTTCTCTATCAAGGAGATAGAGATCCATAGAAAATCTAGTGGTAAAGGCAGCGCAATTATCAAAACTTTGGACCGTGGTAGAAAATTCAAAGAGGAGAGGTATCTGTCGGCTGATAGTGTTTTCACCACTGTTTCTGAAAACCACTTTAATGTCAAAGCGAAATGTAAGGCTAGCATGAAAAAAGAAATTCGTAGAGTTGAAGTTTCGCTGGACCGGGAAACTGGCCTAGTTGTTTCATCAAAGTGCTCTTGTCCTGCCGGAAAGAGCGGATATTGCAACTACGTTATGGCCTTAGGGCTGATTTATACGTCGCGCTTATCTCGCACCAAATCTAATATAATTAGAACTGACGAAAGCGCGAGTTTGGCGCGACAAAGGAGTTTGATTTTGATTTAGACGATGAACTTTCGTCGTGCCAATAGCAAAATACACTTCTGCGAGTTGCCAGCCACAGGGAACCAATAAACTGAAAACACTCGAAGCAAAGACAAATCACGTATGGCGCCCTTCACGCATCTAAAGAAAGTGCTTCTTCTGAAGTCGCTTATTGGAGCCAGGAGAAGACGACAGAATATGCAAGCAATGATGATTAATTTGATGAACAGAAGACGGTGTAGGCTTTTGCAGATTCTTTTTTTGCTACAGTTGATTCTTACTGGTTTACAACAAGCAGTTGCAGTGCCTATTAGGCCTAGGATAAGATCATGCCGTAGGTTGCAGCGAAACACTGGTTGGTGGAACCTCGTTTGGACAGTATATTCCGAGAAAAGGTTTAAAAAGACATTTAGAATGACTAGGCAAACATTTTCCTTAATTCATGATAGAATCAAGGATGATTTAACGAAGGAGAGCGTCACAGAAGAACCAATTCCATCCCAGATGAGACTAGCAATTTGCTTGTATCGACTCAGTAGAGGAGACTACTACAATACCATTTCAGAGCTAGCTGGTGTCGGTGAAACAACTGTGTGCAACATAGTGAGAGAGGTAGCTAAGGCAATCATTGAAAATTTATGGGAAGAATTTGTTGAGGCCAAATTTCCACATAGCAAGGACACGCTGAATGAGAAAATGAAAGAAATGGAACAAGAATGGCAGTTTCCTTTTGCATATTCTGCAATTGATGGGTGTCACATACCAATTAAGTGCCCACCTGGTGGCCAAGAGTCATGTAAAGAATTTCATAATTTTAAGAATTTCTACTCAATCGTTCTAATGGGAATGGTAGATGCCAAATATCGATTTATATGGGCAAGTGCTGGTTGGCCTGGCAATTCACATGATGCCATAATCTTTCAAGCAACAAACCTTTATACCAAACTAGCTGAAGGTACAGCCTTTCCACCTATTGCCCATCATGAGAATGGCGTCAGTATTCCACCTTTAATCCTGGGAGATTCTGCCTTCCCCTTCAAGCCTTGGCTGCTGAAGCCTTACACAAATGCTACACTGATGCCGGAGCAGAGCTATTTCAATTATAGGTTGAGTCGTGCACGCATGGTAACAGAGTGTGCATATGGACAACTGAAAGGTCGATGGAGAGTCTTGCTCAGGAAGTCTGAGAATGATAAGGAAACAGTACGTGCAGTTACACTAGCTTGTGTAGTACTACATAACATTTGCATCGAACAAGGAGATTTGGCTCAAAGGCAATGGGACCTCTCCAAAGATTCAGCATCAAATCAAAGACGTACACAAGAAGAATTCCAAGACCTTCTTATGATAAGGCAATCAAACCTCTAAGAGATACAAATCGTTCTGCAGCACAGGTTCGTGATTATTTGAAAGACAAGTTATTTTTAGAAAAGCAGCAAGTTTAGGGGATGCAAAGCTCCCATACTTTCAATACTCTCCCTCCCTTAATAGTATCCCCCCTAACTCCAAAATTTTACAAAATTACCATCTATTTCCATTTATTAAAACCCCCCTAAAAAGGAAAAAAATGCTTTTTTCCATCCACCCCCATTTATTAGACAACATCCCAAAGGCTTTTGGCAGCTATTTTTGATATTTTGCAAGATTCAAGGGGCTATTAGAAGCACTGATTGGCTTTTACCCCATTTGAGAGCAGAACGCTGATAGGTTGTTTACATTTTTCCTCCTTGTTATATGAATTGGTATAGTATCTTTTAGTATCGAAATATATTTTCAACAAAATGTAAAAAAGTTAATGTTACCCCCCAACTATTAACATCACACCCCTATTTAAGCGCTGCATGACAAAATCAACCCATTTCCATTTATTAACACCCTCCACAATTATTTATCCTGGGCAAATTTCCAACTGCCTCTTTTTAATAAGTCCCCCCTACTATTAGGGGATGGAGAGTAAACTGCATCAGCTTTGGAAAACTGACAAAGTTTCAATTATAATTCTTGACAATTGTGATTTCTGGAGCCACTTTGACACTATTTATACACTACTTATGTTCTTATGTTGTACATTGTAGTTTGTATTAAATAATGTTTCTTATGTAATTACTTGTAGATTGGATTTAGGATTAATTAATAGATGAATGGAAACTGAAACTGAAACTGAAATATGATGTGATTCTAAATGTTTATAGCTGAAATAAATCATCTGACTGGGATTGATGTTCAAAGTTTTGATTCCTTGGAGGATAATTATCTTGTGGAGTAAATGCTTGTCGAAATTGTTGTCTTGGATCCATATTGTATGACTGCTGCATGTTTTGGGGGAAATGTTGATAAGAAGGAGGCTGTGGAACTGGTGGTTGGAATTGCTGCTGTGCTTGATTTCCATTGAACATCATTGTGAGTAATCTCATTTCATGTTCTCTTGATCTTTGATTCTCTCTCTCAAGAAATGCTAGCATGTCAGCCATTGGGTCCTTTTTTAGCTGCTCAGTGACCTCAAGGATTGCTTTTGATGTTATTTTTACCAGATCATCAAGCTTTTCCTTTTTTCCAGCTGCCTTTTTGATGGTAACAAATGGCCTCTTCTTTGAAGGAAGATTTGCTCTTGTGGGAGTTGAAGTTCCTGAGGAGGTCTCTGGTGAAGGACCTTGGCCAAACTCATTGTTGTTGTAGCCCCCCTCTTCATTTACATGATTCACTTCAGTTGAGGTTGGACTTCCTTCTTGACTGTCATGTGAACAAGTTGATGGTTCAATGGCCTGCTTCAATGGTTCAATGACAAGATTCTCTGGACTTGACAAGAGGCAGCAGTTGATTAAACCATTTTCCATAGTCCCTGTCCTCCTGAAATCGCTTTATGCCAGATGCAGATTTGCAGGTTAAGGCAGCCTTCTTGCACTCACTCACGCACTTCTTGAACTTATTTCTAGTTTGGACAAGGCTGAACTTGTATTCTTGTCTCCTAGCCTGGCAACGTTTCTCCACCTCTTTGATTACCTCAATATGTAAACACAAAAGTTGCAAAAGGAATCAGCATTTTAAGTAAAGTAAGACAATTTGTTCCACAAAGAGTATTGCTAAACATATACAATGCATTTGTACTACCAAATATTCTTTACGGTCTTTTAAATTGGGGAAATGCATCTAAAACCACTCTTGACCCAATTAATAAAAAAATAAAAAAGCCGTAAGATTAATAACATTAAAAAGTAAAACTGAGCACAGTGAACCTCTTTTCAAATATCTAAACCCTCTTGATCTTGAAGATTGTTATAAATTCAAATGTGCTAAAATTATGTACAATTTAAATAGTAACATTTATAATACTACTTTTGGGAAATTATTAAAAAAATCCAAAGACATTCATAACTTTAAAACAAGGCATGCTACATCAGGGAAATTTTTCAAACCATCCTTTACAACAAGCTATGGTAAAGGTTCTATAATAAATTCTGGTGTTGATATTTGGAATTCCATTCCAAAAGATAGAAATTCCTGATTTCAAAATACTAGAACCTATGAGTTATATATCGATCAAATTCATGTAACCAAAATGGCTCATGGCTCGAAAGCCCTCTCTGGGTTGTTTCCATGAGTCATTCAGCTTTGTTTATTACATGAGTTGTTAAAATAATTATAATATTGTAATATCACGCTGAGAATACACAAAAAATTCAAATTACCTTCAAATAAATTTCTCCGTTCTTGCTAGTCTTTGTGTTTGTAAAAATCAGTTTTTTGCGAAAATACTCATTATCGCAGATAACGTCCACTAGGTTGTTTGTTATGTCCATTGGCCACGATGACTTCTTCACGGCCTTTTTCTTTCGCTTTTCAAACAACACATTACATGCCTCTTCCGCTTCACTTTCTGACCCAAAACTCCCTCTTTCGTCCTCATTAAAAATTTCGGATTCCACGCCAGCTTCCTCACTTTCGCTGCCGCAATCCACGCTATTGCTTACATACACGTCTGTTTCTGCCATTTTCCTTCAGAGATGAATACAAGAAGCAAGAACAACCCAACTATACTTTGGCGCCAACAAAAACTTAGCACCACTGCGCTTGCGCAACTAATGTATTTGACGGACTGGAAAAAACACTATTTGATTCAAGTCATCAAAAGCGCGACGTCTAAAGCCAACTCGCGCTTTGGCCGTGTAGCACGGCTGACCATGACGAACTTGAGTCGCACCTAGCATTTGTATCGAGCTAAATTGCAAATTGGATTTATGCGCCGTGCTAATGTTGAATCTAATCGATACTTAGATTTTGAAGAGGCAAAGTATTTCATTCGGTGCGAGATAAGCGCGACGTATAAATCAGCCCTTACTTTTTGAATTGGCAGATTACTCGTTGAATCAATTGATAATTGTGCCAGAGGAGATAGCGTGTACCAGTAAGACAAGACAGTGGGGAATTCCTGAAGAAAATGGTGCCACAAAAGAGCCAGCCATGACAAAAACTGTTAAAAAGTTGGGGGATAAGAGGGGAATATCATGCACAGTATATGATGCAAGATTGAACGAAAGCAAGTCTGATCTAAAGATAAGAGCATTGGACATGGAAGCAAAGCTTGCTGAAAAAGATGAAAAAATTGGTTTTGCTCACTGCATTGATTTTTCCCTGAGTGAAATGAGCAATACAAGGTTCGGAGAGTTTTTAGTTGGATCCACTTTGGCTCATCAACTAGCACCTGTGCATTCTTCAACTATTACAGTTGTTACAAATATCCCTCGCTCTGAATATCGTGAATACACAACACATTCTTACACCCCATTACCTTTAAAGATCTTACCACCAGATCATCTTGTTGTGCCAAGTGAATGGGGAACACTTACAGAGGAAGAAATTGAGTTTCTTGATGAAATACGAATTTCAGAAGCAGATTCATACCAAATAGAAAAAGACACTGTTTCGCAAAGTCAGTGCAAAAAGTGGCATGAAATTCGAATGAGGCGTCTTACCTCTAGCAATGCAAGCAAAGTTTTAAATCGCAAACGGAACTTTGAAGCTCTGGCAAATCAGCTTCTAAATCCAAAGCCAGAAACAGAACTTCCACAACTGGTGAAAGATGCCTTCAAGCATGGGATAATGTATGAACCTGTGGCCAGAAAACAGTATGAGGAGTACTTAAAATATAATTTGAGGCATGATGCAGCAGTACGTGAGACTGGTATTGTTGTACAACCCTATTTGTTCTGGCTTGCTGCTAGTCCTGACGGACTTGTCAGTGATAATGCAGAGGCTGGTACTGGTCTCTTGGAAATCAAATTTCCTGAAACCAAAAAGGAAGAGTACCCCAGATGGCCTTTGGTCAATGGAAAGCCAGAGCTTAAAAGAGAACATGGCTATTATACACAAATCCAAATGGCAATGGGACTATCTGGTGCTCCTTATTGTGACTTTATTGTATATACATTTAAAGGTTTGATAATTGTCAGAACTCCATTTAATAATGAATATTTTGTAAATGTGATTCAGAAACTAAACATCTTTTATAGAAAATACATGCTACCATTATTAATTTCAAAGTAAGTTAGATTTTAATGTAAGTAAGTGAATGCAGGTTCTTGATATAAATATATATTCCATAACTAATATTTTCTATTCATATTCAATAGCTCCTAATAATATAGCTTTTTTAATGAATTAGATTCTCAGTAAAAAAAACAACCTGTTTGATTGATGAATTTATACAAAGATATCAAGATTTATGGTGAAAATTTAAGCTTGATATTTTTAGAATGCATAAAGTTACACAACAGACAACAGACAGTCCAAATTTGATTCACTGAGCCATGCAAAACCAAAGGTATTTCATTTCTGATAAGCCTGAATTTTTTGACTCGTTGAATTGCCCTCTCCACATGAATGCGCACAGATGCAATAGTTTGGCTGTTCAAGACCTCTTCTTCAGATAACTGGTCTATTCCACCAAGAAATGCAGGTATATTTAACTGCACTTTTAAAGGTTTCAAGTCTTCAGATATTGTAAAGCCTCTGTCTGCCATCAGGCTATCTCTTTCATCCCACAGCGAACTATTAAGAAAACCACTTCTCTTAACAATTTCCTTATCAGAAATGGAACCATCAAAGAGCTGGCCAACAAATGTTATAGCACCAGAAGGAGCAATGCCAATTAATGCTTTGTAGGTGACATGATGTTTATAGGAGGAGTAGAGACTACTTTGAATGGCAAGTGATGAAGGTCTTTGACAAAATAGCTCTGTACAGTCTATTATGCAGCGTGTTGATGGAAAAGTTTTCTTAAAGGATGCAGGCATTGACTTTTGGACCACTTCTTTTGATGGCCAGATTGGAAGACTGCCAAGAGAGAAATAGAGAAAATTTATCCAAGATATTAGATGTCGAGAAATTGTAGATTTTGGCAACTTGAACAACCAAGACATGTGTGACAAAGTAAACCCATTTTTTAACCATGTCAAACACATAAACAGTTGATCTATTGGTTCAGATTTTGGTTTTGGGCCACGTTTCTTTCCTGGGAATGCTGATGTGGGTCTTGCTGTGGCATTGTTGTCGGTCTCTGCACGTTTTATAGTTTCATAAAATTTAATGTTGTTGCAATTTTCTCCAGGTTTTAAAAAAACAAACAAATCTTGAAAAGCTTTCACTTCTAGGCCAGTAGCTTTAACAAATAATTCAGGACAGCTTGAAATGTTACTGAAATTGTAAATAGAATTAGTTCTCAAAGACTCCAATTCTTCTTTAATATAAATGTTCTCTCTTCGCAATTCATGCAGCTCTTCTTCTAGAAAGGATCTCTCTTTTTGCAATTTTTCAATTTCTTGTTCGTGACATGCACAATTTAAACAACCTGGAACATTGCCGGTGTCCGGAAGCTCGACTTCCGTTTTTTCTGATGACTGATTCGAAACTGGCCTACTGGAACTTGGCATATTACTGCAGTCAAGTGGAGCTTTGCATGCCTTGCTAATCTTTGGCTTGAATTTGAAAATAGTTGGAACAGCACCAGGTACCAAGGACTTTTTTCCGCAATCAGAAGAAACTTTTATCTCGCTGGTTTTGAAGTGAAATTCACATACTACAGTCGAGCTTGTCACTTTAAACGTATCAGCACCTCCGCTTCGTCGAAATTGCTTTATCATGTTTATCCATTTAACCTTCATTTCTTTATCCTTCGGGAATCTGAAAAAACGGATACCTGACTTCTGCTTTTCTCGGTTGTATGTAGCGTTTTTACATAGTGGGATGCAACAGTATACGCCTGACCCGCCACCATCAAGTTCAGCTGGGCGACATTGCGAGGTACCGAATTAACATTTGAATCTTCTGCCAAAACTTCTGTTTTAGTTTTTTTAAGATAATGATTCTTCCAAATCAAATCTATAACGTTTGAGAGAAAAGAACAAGATCACGCACCACACTACTCACCAGACAACCTATTAAATTTCCGCGGAAGTCGGCTGTTTATCAAGCTTGTCCTCGATTTCAGCTGACTCGAATACGAGGCCAATGGAATTCGGGAAAGGTGTATTATCTGTTCTGCAAACTGATAGCAATACAGATAAATTTATTTTTCCATGAATGAGTACCACAAACAGAAATTTTTTCAGACAGACAAAAACATACAGTCTTCTAAAATTAAGTGAAAATTTATTGAGCTAAACTCGCCTAGACTAACAGGTACCATTCAAATTTGCTATACTTCTTCTTTATCCTTAATACTTTTTGATACAAACAGAAAGCATACCTTTATTGTGTACAAACAGAAAGCATACCGCAGTTAAACCCATCAGTTTGTTTTGGATGCAATAGCGCTACGTATCTCCACGCAATTGTCGGTGCATTGAGATATGCCACCCTGTTTCGCCAGAATAATCTAAACAAATAATTACAGTAGAAATATAGTCATTTAGGCATAAAAAGAGCCTTATCAAATTCATTATGTAGCAATTTAAAAATAAGCTATACAGTCAAATAAATAATATATGGGTATATTCTCCATACTTCCAGTTTTTCATGAGTGTTGCCAGCTGACTTTGAAGCTCACCAAATGAATTAAGGAACATTAATGTTCCTTCTTTGGGCTTCACCATCTGCAAACAGAATAGAGATTATAGAGATTAGTGATTAAACCGCTTTGTCGTGGAAGTTAGATGAACGAGACAACTTGCATGTAAAAATTCAGGAAGACGGAACTGCGAATTTTTTCAGACGACTTACAACTAGAGTCCAATGACATGAATTCATGTTGTTTCCACCAACCACAAAGTCGTAATCCTCAATTTTTACCTTTAAGAAAAATCTGTGAGTGTATTTCCGAAAAGCAACAAAGATTTCGAAACTCATTGATGTATTTTATTATTCATCTATTATTTTGCTGAAGAGGGGCCTAAATTTTCTCTGACAGGCTGAGCTTTCGTCATCAAGGCTGAGAGTATTTGTCATATTTTTCTACTTAAATTCACACGATGTAGTGAATGTAATCAAACAAAGGAAATCTTTTTTTTATGAGCCAGAGTAAACTAATCTCATTTTCATTTAAGCAATTCGTGTTTCTTATTGGCCTATTTCGGTCCACAACTGGGTATATTTATTTCCTAGCGTAAAGTTTTCGATCTATGTTCGGACGTTTTATACTCTGAAGAGTGTACTCTGAAGTTAGTTTACTAAAATGTTTGCTTTTTTTAAAGCCATTTTTAATTTTGGTACTACCAAAAGATTGTTTGAATTCTTACCTTCCTTAGCTTTTGCTTGTAGCACAGTCCATTGCAAATTTCGGACATGATGCAGGAGCCAATGACCAAAATATTTGTCTGTGAAAATTTCCTTTATTGTAAATTTTTGCTTGCCCAGATAGATTTACGAAACATGTCTAGTAGCAATTTTTAAGCCTCTTTTTTACGTTTCTTTATAAATAACCGTTAAAGATAAAGACTTTTACACTGCATAAAGCAATAACATCATCAAAATTTTGAACTGCTTTTTAAAAATTTGCAGAGTCATCAGAAAATTAGTTCCAGGTAGTTATGCATTTTATACTTACATTTTGGTTGCTGTATAGCCTCGACAGAAGAACCAAATACAAGTCTATCACCTATAAGATAAAAACACAGCTGGCTGCTAACTGTTTCTGTAACATCGTTTTCTCACATTTGGCAACATCTTATATCACAGCCAGTAATTTTTCGATTGAATTGAAGTCAAAAATTCCTAGTAGCTACAGGCTTTGCAATCACACAAGATATACCATAATAAAATTTATAAAAATTTGTTTCTATATATATTTCCATTCATAAAGAGTAAATTTTGCCTAGAACTCATGTAAAGTAAAGCATTTGTTTACACAGATCAAGGTTTTTTTTGAGCAGTTAAAAAGCACTATTTACTGCAAAACCTGTGATAGGAACTTTTTAATTTTTAAAAAACTTTTCTCATTAAAAAACGTAAAATTCCAATAAATTCTTCGAATTGTACTTACCTCATCTGAAAGGTATGATTCGCCCTTCAGCTCTAGGATTCGGTTATCACTGAGGCTTATACCATTGATGTTGCTTACGCAATATCCAACACCGCCACATTCCCATATGGTGTCAACGACTAGAAATAATCACAAAATATTATGTTGAGCTGGGTTACAACATCCAAAATAGATGGCTAAAATTTTATCAAAAGGTAAAAGTATCTAGTACTAATTGTAACACCCAAGAACACTTGTTTAACCCTTTCCGCCTGTGCGTCCCACCAGTGGTCCCACACAGCAAATTTTGACTAAAAATTCAATGTTTACGGAATCCCTCCAAAATTCATGTCAAATATAATTTTTATACGCAGAATTCAAAAAAATTGTTCTTTTTTCAAAATTTTCATTATTTGGGGGTTTAAATGGGGGTCAAATATGGCCACCAGTGGTCCCGCACAGCAAATTTTGACTAAAAATTCAAAGTTTACGGAATCCCTCCAAAATTCATGTCAAATATAATTTTTATACGCAGAATTAAAAAAAATTGTTCTTTTTTCAAAATTTTCATTATTTGGGGGTTTAAATGGGGGTCAAATGTGGCCACCAGTGGTCCCGCACAGCAAATTTTGACTAAAAATTCAAAGTTTACGGAATCCCTCCAAAATTCATGTCAAATATAATTTTTATACGCAGAATTCAAAAAAATTGTTCTTTTTTCAAAATTTCATTATTTGGGGTTTTAAATGGGGGTCAAATGTGTCACCAGTGGTCCGCACAGCAAATTTTGACTAAAAATTCAATGTTTTACGCAAATCCCTCCAAAATTCATCTAAATATAATTTTTATACGCAGAATTCAAAAAAATTGTTCTTTTTTCAAAATTTTCATTATTTGGGGGTTTAAATGGGGGTCAAATGTGGCCACCAGTGGTCCCGCACAGCAAATTTTGACTAAAAATTCAAAGTTTACGGAATCCCTCCAAAATTCATGTCAAATATAATTTTTATACGCAGAATTCAAAAAAATTGTTCTTTTTCAAAATTTTCATTATTTGGGGGTTTAAATGGGGGTCAAATGTGGCCACCAGTGGTCCCGCACAGCAAATTTTGACTAAAAATTCAATGTTTACGCAATCCCTCCAAAATTCATGTCAAATAAAATTTTATACGCAGAATTCAAAAAAATTGTTCTTTTTTCAAAATTTTCATTATTTGGGGGTTTAAATGGGGGTCAAATGTGGCCACCAGTGGTCCCGCACAGCAAATTTTGACTAAAAATTCAAAGTTTACCGAATCCCTCGAAAATTCATGTCAAATATAATTTTTATACGCAGAATTCAAAAAAATTGTTCTTTTTTCAAAATTTTCAATATTTGGGGGTTTGAATGGGGGTCAAATGTGGCCTCCAGTGGTCCCACACACCATTAAATTGCTATTTCTTTCCAAGAGCTCGAAATATCGCACTTTCCACGCATCAATATGTCAAAGTTTTCTTACTTTGACAAAAATTGCATTCTGATGTCCAAATTGGTACATGGGCGGAAAAATCAGGGCAGATAGGGGGTAATTGAATTGGATATTTGGAAAATAACAATTCTTTCAGAAACTCGTAACTTTATTGTTTTGAAGAATTCTTATGTGAAAATGAGATTTTTTCCGAAACTTCAAAAATTGTCTGTCAGGGGGTCAAAACCGGTGGCAAATACTGCTTTGTGTTGCAGAATAATAGCTTAGTGAACAACTTCAATAGAAAGGTTTTCCATAATGGGATCCTTACGTTGAAAAGAACAGCCTGCAAACAATATTAACGAACAATATGGTTGCTACCCAGCTAGAAATACTTATACTAAACTTGAAATGAAACGTGAAATAGTTCCACGAGAAGCAATGCTTATCCTCATTGAGACTACATTATTCTCCTAACAATAGTGAGCCTCATGAATGCTCGATAAATACAACAGTAAAGTGTCTATGTTATGTTAGTTCCTGGGAATCTTTATTGACAAATTTGTGTACCTTTTGCATCCGTGAACAAAAACTTAGGGAAAATATGGATAATTTGAGTGGGTTTTTAAAAAATTTTGAACCTTTTTGGTTCAAAAATCTTTTTGGATTCTTTCCAGTGCTATAAAACTTTGCAATTTTAAGGAGATGGAATTTACCTAGACATTTGATAATGAAATAAGGATTCCTTGCAAAAATATTCAGAATTTTCTTTGAACTGTGCAAAAATGTGAATTTGTTTTGGTATTATTTACATTGGGTTTTATGAGAAGTTGTGAACGAAAACAGTGGAGAAAATAAGTCCTATTTTGCTAAAGAAAAGTTAGCTAGAAAGCATTTGCATAACTGGCGAACTGGAAGAGAAATTGATAGTAATTTTCCATCATGAAAGCATTTCCCATCTATTGCGATGTTGGCTGTGACTGGCTGCTATCGATATCATACTCCCTTGCCAAATGATATGTATTCCAGCAGTCTCTGCCGGTATCAATACAGCACAAAGCCAATGGATCCCCAGGGCTTGAACATTTTGCACATTTATAAGAGGTCTTCTTCTTGCATATTCTGCATCTAAGCCTTCGTTTGGAACCTGTGGATTCATCAGGTGTAATCCTGTCGATGCTATGGTGACCTTTGCGTGGTGACGTAATTGTTTGTGCAAGCTTCCTTTTATTAGAACGTGGCTTGTAGTTTGGGTAATGAAGTACTGCCATTGTGCCATTTGTCATTTTAAAAACAGCGTACCAGTCTCGTATTACTTCAAATCGGAAAGAGCTTTGAGATATTGCATCTTTTGACATCCTTTCCGCTATGTTACAACTGTTTCTCCATATTGTGTGACCATTCGCTAATATGTACATTTCAGCGAGGTTGTCAAAAACTCTATTTTGTTTCCTTACACTGCGACATTCTGTGCTATAGTAGGCAAGCTGCTGGTTTGACCTGTCAACCCATCCGTATATTTCTCGGTATAGCTTTGCTACTTCTGGCATATGAATGACTTGGTTAACCGCTCCCTGCTTGACCTCCAGAGTGTCCCAAAATTCCCTGCCAGATGAAATATCGTTGTCCAAAAATATGACCACGTTGTTATCGTTCCAGTATGTCAAGGTTAACTGTCCATTACTTAAAGTTTTTGAAAACCCTCTAGCGAACGACTTTGCAGCTTTTATGTTCTCTTTGTGCGTTTTCGGCAAATGTGCAGTGTTTCCCCGTTGCGTAGCTATCAGTCTTGTTCCCCAGATTTCCTTTGCATCTTCCATCAGCTTCGTTGTTGGAAAACCACTATCCATAACCACTAGCCTTCCTTCGTTTTTAAAATTCTCTATTAACTGCTCGATGATATCATAATTCTTGCCATTTGCTGCCTTCTTATAAGTCTTGCTTCCACATTTAACCACATGGTTTGCGACAAAATTTCCACCATATTTACCTCTGTCACTCAATTTGCAAATTGTCCATCCCATTCTAATTGGTTTGTCTGGATTGCGGATTTTGAATGGGTTCCTGTTACTTTTGCTTCTAACTCTGCCCTCGTCGATACAAAGCTTGAAACCCATTTTCCAGAGAGATAAGGACTTTGCTCTTAAATATTCTACACCATCGTTTATGTTTTGTAGTGGATGGTAATTAGGCGAATTCTTTGAAGGTAAACCTGACTTCCGCACTACTCGAAAGTGTTTGAGCAAAAGACAGAACACATCTAACGGCATTATCTTCTTTATCTCAGGTTGAGATTTTAACTGGTCCTCACTCCAAGCCCATTTCATTTGAGGATATTTCAGTAGCCTGAGATGCCATTTAATTGCAAAGAAGCCACGGAGGAAATGAACACCTTTCTCGTTTTTTGGGATCTCTCCAATCTTCTTGGCATATTTTTGGTCGGAAAGTCCATGCTCATTTGTAGCGTCAATGCATGTTTCAATGAAGGTGTTGTCCATTATCATCTCAACAATGACGTGTGGCTTTGTGTTCTCTTCAAAGTGAATTTGAGGCAATCCAAACTCTGGGACACTTTCATCTCGCTCTATTGTGTTAGAAGAGTTCTGGTTATGGCTAGACCAGTGGCAACAACCACGCTCATCATCATCACTCTCAATTCCTTCTGGATCGTAGGACTCTTCAATTTCGTCTAAATCATCTAAATCATCTTCAGAGGAAAAATCCACGGAAAAAGAATCACTTGAATAACTTTCATCAGACTCGTAGTCAGTTTCCATAATTAAACGATCCTAAGCGAACAATTGGGGAATATAAAGCATATAATACATTAGTGATTGATATGCTGACGCCAAAACCAATTATTTGCAAAAATCCCGCCATTTACAGAAAGGCTTAGCCCAGGCTGTTATAGCTGTTACATAAGAATGACAAACAGACGTACAGATTTCTTGCCTGGCAAATAGGTCGTCTACATATAAGACAGATTTGTGAGTGAAGTAACAATCGCAAAAAGATCTTTGAAATCATCAAAAGAAAGAGCATTTTAACAGTGTCATGGCATGTACGAAAATTCTGCAAGAATTTGAGTTGATATCAACAGGTGGCAACTATAACTGTTACATAAGAATGACAAACAGACGTACAGATTTCTTGCCTGGCAAATAGGTCGTCTACATATAAGACAGACTTGCGAGTGAAGTAACAATCGCAAAAAGATCTTTGAAATCATCAAAAGAAAGAGCATTTTAACAAAGTCAAGGCATATACATATATTCTGTAAGAAATTTGAGGTATTATCCTAACTTATAATTCAAGGGTTTTTTGAAAGAATTGAAATTTTTCAAAAATCTACTGTATCTGCCCACAACAATTGTTGACCACATTTGGCCCCCATTCAAACCCCCAAATAATGAAAATTTTGAAAAAAGAACAATTTTTTTGAATTCTGCGTATAAAAATTATATTTGACATGAATTTTGGAGGGATTCCGTAAACTTTGAATTTTTAGTCAAAATTTGCTGTGCGGGACCACTGGTGGCCACATTTGACCCCCATTTAAACCCCCAAATAATGAAAATTTTGAAAAAAGAACAATTTTTTTGAATTCTGCGTATAAAAATTATATTTGACATGAATTTTGGAGGGATTGCGTAAACATTGAATTTTTAGTCAAAATTTGCTGTGCGGGACCACTGGTGACCACATTTGACCCCCATTTAAACCCCCAAATAATGAAAATTTTGAAAAAAGAACAATTTTTTTGAATTCTGCGTATAAAAATTATATTTGACATGAATTTTGGAGGGATTCCGTAAACTTTGAATTTTTAGTCAAAATTTGCTGTGCGGGACCACTGGTGGCCACATTTGACCCCCATTTAAACCCCCAAATAATGAAAATTTTGAAAAAAGAACAATTTTTTTGAATTCTGCGTATAAAAATTATATTTGACATGAATTTTGGAGGGATTCCGTAAACATTGAATTTTTAGTCAAAATTTGCTGTGTGGGACCACTGGTGGGACGCACAGGCGGAAAGGGTTAAACATAACAGGTTGGAAAAAAGAAGAGATAATTGAAATTGTCACTGTTAGGAGGGCAAGCAATTCTTACCAGCGTTGGGAGGCAATTCCTGTTTTCGTAGAGCCTTGTCAGATGGTCGTAGGTGGACACTTGGGTCGTCATCTTCTATCGAAATCACCTGCCATCTTGTGACAAACGACGAAGATACCTTGAATGCATACGCCTCCCCATTATCTTCATCATTTGTCTGGCTGACAATGATGCCCTCATCTTCCTTTTTAGGCTCGGTTCTGGAAACTATAGGCAAAGATTGCGCATTCATTTCTGGATAACTTTTGAGGTTATGCTCGAACTGTTCCTGATTTGGCAACATGCTATCATCTTCACAGAAACCAGTCACATTAGTATTATCTGCAAAAGCAATTTCAGAATCATCATTCTCGTGAATTCTTGATTTGCTCTTTTGCTTCATGTCCCGATCTACAATCTCTTCAGCCTCATTCTCACCTTCATCGAGAGTAGGATTTGGCACCAGATTATTTGTGTTGTCTTCCGCGTTAGGCCTCGTCTCAGTTTTACTTTCGGTTTTTTCTTCTTCGAAAATCCAAGGTTTTAGGTGCTTCATGTTTTTTTCACTTTTTTACCATCAAGGAAGACATGCTTTGATCCAACAATCTCCGAAATGCATACGGTCCTGTCCATTTCTTGGCAAGCTTGTCTCCTTTGCGGGTGGTTTGACGAGCAGTGAACAGCAGCACCTTTTCACCAACAGAAAATGTAATGGCCTTCTTTCCATCAGGAAGTCTTCTTTTTCTGTAGTACTTTTTTTGCTTCTCTTGTGAAATCTTGATGTTTTTTTTGCAATCTCATCTTTCTTTCCTTTCACATCATTTATCTTGTTGATGAAGGCAACAATTGCATCTTCTAATGGGAGCTGTTTTCTCTTCTGCAAAGAGACATTGTTGTCGTTAATAGATGCAATCACTAATTTGCTTCAGCATTCAAGTGTCTAATAAAGCAGGATATTTGATGCAAATAATAATGAATAATCATAGTGCATAGTTATTTTGGGAAGTTAAGCCCTCTTAGCTAAGGGTGTGACACCCCCAAACAGCCCCACCCCTACCCGCTACGCCCCTGAATATATTAGACCATGCTGGACATTTGAAGTTCACTAGTTTTGAGTTCAATCAATGTTCAGTGATACTAAACATGAGTCAAAAACAGATTGCTGTATTCTCTTCCAATAAGGCCAATTTACAAAATTATAAAAATTGACTTATGCTCTTAAGTAATCTAACTGAAAAAGCTAGAAAACAGATACCTCAGATAAATCACTAACGATCTCTGTAGTTTCGATTGGTCGCAGGGCTTCTCGGCCATACATCAATTGAAAAGGAGAAAATTTTGTGGTAGAGCTTTTTGTTGTTCTGATTGAAAACAGTATTGGGTCAATAAGCTCGTCCCAATGATCAAGGGACTCCTCCTCTGAAAAAAGCTTCTCTAAACGCCTTAAAGTAAATTTAAGATATAGATTCAAAAGTGAATTAATAGAGTTTATGATCCTCAAAAATAAGCATTTTACTCCAGAAAATATTTTATTGATATAAAAACAAGTTAACATTTTAAAACTCCACTTTAAATACCGTAAAAGCTCTATTAAGGCCCCGGGCTCTTTTGTTCTTAAATTATTAGGGTGTAAGCAATGCGATTGCTAGGGAGGTATGCAGGCCTCATTTGCCAACAAAGTGAGTGAGACAACCTTCATTTGCCAACAAGTTTGAATATTCATCGAAAAAGCACCCACACATGGCTTAAAATTCTCGTTTTTGAGAACGTTGTTCGAAATTGTTTAATTTGTTCTTAACTTTTGACCAATTTTCTATTGAGGCTCGTGTTCTATGAAATTGTTCTTCTAAAAAAGAGTTTTTTCGACAAAAAAGAGGGCACCAAGATCAGGAGTATTAAAATCACAACATGCTGCATAATAAATCAACTCTATACCTTTTTATATTCTGATTTGTCCTTTCGTCTAAACCATTTGTCTGCGGATGGTATGCTGCCGTCATCTTGTGATTAACGCCAAGAATTTGGTAAAACTCTTTGTTCAGCTAGTAAAAAAGAAATAGCCATTTTATTGATTTTTATTCAGCCTACCGATCTCTATTGGCGTAAATGTAGAAAATAAAACACAATGTCCGCTTTTAAGAGGTATTATTGTGGAAAAAAGGATTTGGGAACGATGTCAGAACTCCAGCAATAACAACAGAAGCTTAGCAATATCTATATTTAAATATAAATGTACATATCTAATCATAAGGCGAAGGCTGACAAGAGGAAAATCTTTCCACAAGGGTGCTACCCAATTATATCGAACCACTCTTGGTCGAAATCGAACTCCAGTTTGCTGCTTCAAAAACCCCCACTCATTCCACTGAGCCAAAGGGCCCAATATATATATATATATTAACTGCCTTGTTGCTCTGACAGCATAGCTCGGGTTGTGTCTCAGACAAGCTCTGTGCTGCACTGACGAGCCCACAAAGGGCGAAACAGTACTGTCTGCAGATTGAGTATTACGCTCCCTTACACTAGTTTGGTCGAGCACTCTATGTCTGGGACTCTGTGGGGACCTGCTTCTAGCATTATGCGAAGCTCACTGCGCATGCGCTGTTTGAGCACTCTGGCAGGGTCCCACAATCAATCCGTTAAACTGCCTTGTTGCTCTGACAGCATAGCTCGGGTTGTGTCTCAGACAAGCTCTGTGCTGCACTGACGAGCCCACAAAGGGCGAAACAGTACTGTCTGCAGATTGAGTATTACGCTCCCTTACACTAGTTTGGTCGAGCACTCTATGTCTGGGACTCTGTGGGGACCTGCTTCTAGCATTATGCGAAGCTCACTGCGCATGCGCTGTTTGAGCACTCTGGCAGGGTCCCACAATCAATCCGTTAAACTGCCTTGTTGCTCTGACAGCATAGCTCAGGTTGTGTCTCAGACAAGCTCTGTGCTGCACTGACGAGCCCACAAAGGGCGAAACAGTACTGTCTGCAGATTGAGCTTGTCTGAGACACAACCCGAGCTATGCGGTCAGAGCAACAAGGCAGTTTAACGGATTGATTGTGGGACCCTGCCAGAGTGCTCAAACAGCGCATGCGCAGTGAGCTTCGCATAATGCTAGAAGCAGGTCCCCACAGAGTCCCAGACATAGAGTGCTCGACCAAACTAGTGTAAGGGAGCGTAATACTCAATCTGCAGACAGTACTGTTTCGCCCTTTGTGGGCCCGTCAGTGCAGCACAGAGCTTGTCTGAGACACAACCCGAGCTATGCTGTCAGAGCAACAAGGCAGTTTAACGGATTGATTGTGGGACCCTGCCAGAGTGCTCAAACAGCGCATGCGCAGTGAGCTTCGCATAATGCTAGAAGCAGGTCCCCACAGAGTCCCAGACATAGAGTGCTCGACCAAACTAGTGTAAGGGAGCGTAATACTCAATCTGCAGACAGTACTGTTTCGCCCTTTGTGGGCTCGTCAGTGCAGCACAGAGCTTGTCTGAGACACATATATAGAAATATAGAAATATATAGAAGAATATAGAAATATAGATATATAGAAATTTGTCTTTTGATACTTCCGTAGCACAGTGCTCAATACGTTAGCACGTAGAGCGTGATATATCATAGATTGAAGAAAGTAAAACTGACAGTGCTCGATGTGCAAAAGCACAGAGCAATATAATAAAATAGAATATATACTAGAAATGAGACATGTAGAGAACCTAAGCTAGTATTGTTCATCGACATATGAAGGCTGTTCATCACATACGAAGAGCCTAAGCTAGTATTGTTCATCGACGGTGTCACTTCATTTTATTCTGAGAAGGGAATGTACGAAATATATCTGTTACTCCGAGTTTCGTGCTTACGCACTCATCAGACAGACTATAGTCTGACAGAGACCAGTTGCGAGTCGTCAGTTGCAAGTTTGTTTTTCATCCTGTCAGTCCCCAAAGTTATACTTTTTACCCCAAAGTATAACAGTTATGCCTCATTGTGCGCAAAGAAATTCAGTTAGTAAAAATATGTTGTCTTCGGACATTAAAGCGTTTTTTTGCAATAGGATATCCATTGAGCTTCGACCGTTTCTTGCTCCAAGAGCTTCCCCCAGGCTGGAAACATCTTTGCAAAAGCAGAAACTGACAACTCGCAGCTGACAACTCGCAACTTGTAAATTACCATATCCCCCCATTTTGAAATTCGAAGTAAAAAGTGGTTTTTAAAGGTTGTTCTAAATCGCTATTAACATAAAACTGTTGTAACAAAAGCAAAGAGTACTGAAATGAACAATGGGCTGAAACGCTAAAACGCGTTTTCAAATAGCTGAAACGTTTTCTACTTACAAAATATCTTACATGCGTTGTTATTCCTTTCCATTTGTATCTGGAACAAATTTGCTCCGCGGTGTTGTTGAACCCGCTATGGCCACCAAATGGGCTGTCGTGAAATTCTTTGAAGATTTGCTCTGCCTCTTCCAAAGAACAAACGGCTTTCAGTTTTTGAAAGTGGCTTCGCGATTTTTCATTTTTGGATTTTTTGAAATAAAGAGCATTGCTTGAAAAAACAGCTCCTGCTTAATCTTCTTCGGTAAAAGTTTCATAAAGTAATGTTGAAAAAAATGTGAAAACTTTTACATACGAAGAGCCTAAGCTAGTATTGTTCATCGACGTTGTCACTTCATTTTATTCTGAGATGGGAATGTACGAAATATATCATCAAAAAATGGACACTGAAGCAATGGAAATGCCATTTACCTTCGAATTCATATTTGTTTGCATATCGACGCAGGGCACGCTTTTCTTCATTTGAGAAGTCGTTTGGGTAAAGTATTGGGCCTGACAGTCCTTTACTTTTACCTTCATGATACACAAAGATATCATTCATCAATTTGAAATTTTCGCATTACACTTTTTAAGGGGGTTTCGTAAATTTGTTCAAATTTAAAGTTTGGCTGTAATTCTGCCTCAGCTTGTTCTAAATTATTTCTTCGAAATGGTTCTACATAGAATCAAGGAAAGTTTGGCCTGTTTGACTAAAACGTATATACAAAGCTTGACCTCAAGTTATTTAATTTTTGTAAAAAAGAAAAGAGGGTACACAAGAAACTGAGTTTATGGATACGGTTCTTGTGCTTTGGCTCCTATATTCTTTGCATTCCGGTTTGGTCCGTATTGTTCAGAATGTAATGAGCAATCTAACTAATTTTTAACAAGGCGGTGCTAACTACAAGCGGTGCTCTGATTTCCTTTATATAGGAAACGCAAAGAGAGTAAAAAATAAATGGCGCCGCTAGTTTGCGTGATAGGCAAGTGTGAAATATTTTGTTCGGGAAGCAGTGTGTTCCATTTGTAACGCACATTGTGTCCTAACATCACACCATGATAAATCAACATGATTTGTAACACATTGCGTTTCACAATGTTACACTTTTGCATAGGGTACCAAAACGCATATTACACCGGCCCTAATTCTTAGACACAATGCATTAAAAATAGTTGCAACAGAGATGGTGCACATTGTTTGTAGGTTTTATAAGTTATAAGTTTGTAGCTTTTTTGAACCTTTTATTTGTGAGAAACAAAGTAAAAATTTGACTAAAGTTTTTTAATCACAAGAATGCTAGCTTCAGCATATTCAGGAAGCTACAGTTTTCAGATCGATAGTATCAAAGGGGTTTTCCCCATTTTTGTTTAGACAACTGAACTAATTCCTTGTCCTATGGATTAAATTTAGGTAGGATTTTCTTTTCAGGAAGTACTATATGTATTCATTCTTTTATATATGGAATTTGCTTATGAAACAAGTGCTGGGAATTCCCAAACATTTAAATAACTTTATAGTATTCAAAGGAAAAGAATTTATGAAAATGGTAAAGCTTGAAAAATCTAAGTGTTGGCATCAAAATGTTCGACCCAAATAACTAAGATTTTTAAAAAATTCCACAAATTCTTCACAGCATTCTATTTCTCTCATTGTATGTAATTTGTTTCATCTTTTGTAACCTGTTGCTGTATTTTAAAAAATTTGTATGTATGGATTTTTAAAAATGAAATGAACTGTAACTGAACAGCAAACTTCATCAGTCTCCTATCCCCTGTTTATGTGTTAAACCTTTTCGGCAGCCTGAATAATAAAGGACCCCAATGTATGAATAAATGACATGAAAATTTGGAAATTTAAGAAACAATGAGTGCTAAAAATTGCTGCATTCAGAGACTTCAGTGTGTTCTCAATGTTTACCTTTGTTTCTGATAATAAATGAATGTAATTCACTTTTTGGATCAAAACTAAATGTCAGTGTAGTGCTGAAGCTGAAATTAATAACTGCACAGCACCAAGTTTACTGCCATACAATTGGTGAAGAGGGGTTTGCACAGATACCTTGCTTGAAACTACTGTTCACATGGGAGATCTCTTTAAAAGTGCCATTCTCTGCAGACTGAGATATTCTTACTTATATGAAACATTGTATTTTTTAAGTTTCAGATATATCTTTATAGAGTGACAAAAGTTATTGCCTTGTTTGCCTTGAACTCTTGACTTGGATTCAACTGAAGTTCTTCTGTAAATAAATCTCCCTATAGCCAGATATAATTGATATCTGAACATTCCTACTTTCCAAGTAAGGACACAATGTCTATAGTTAGGTAAAAACATATTTTATATGTGAAACATTTTAACAACTTTTTGTAATACAAACTGCCTTTTATGATGCACTAATTGCAAAGATCGTGATGTGGATAAGAAATTTTTCCCTTTCTTACAATTTTAGCTTGTCCCCTCTACTGGAATCCCACTATAGGCTGGTAGCTCCTGTTAAGTTTTTGGACTTTAAACATTTCTTTTTAAGGGCTTGTTTTGTCGCTGCCCTTGAACTACTGTAAAATTTACAGTATACATTTAACAGACCAAAAATTAATTTAAAACAGAAATTTTTATAGTACTGAAGTATCATTTTCTTTCACCAAGCATTTGTATTTAGATATTCTCTCATGAAACATGCAAGCAAAATCCTGCATGCTGGTGACATTTGGAAATTATAACGTTTGAATATATTGCATAAAGAAATTGTATGTTTATTGGTACATTTCCGGTAATATCATGCTCCATTTTCGAAATACACTCTTTGTTATATGAGAACCAGTAAATACACCACTTCGACGGACTGCGGCCTCGTTTTGTTCCAGGGACTGGGCCGAGTTTTGGGGTGAAAGATTTTTGGCTTCGTATGTGAATACTGATGAAAACGGTGTGCTGTACTTGATCGTCGAGAGATTTTACTTCGTTTTCAACCACCGTTTTCATTCGTAATTTGCTCTTACTTGCTGATTTGTGATTTGTTATCTTTGGAAGAGTTTTTTTGAAAACTATTTTGAGTACGAAGCTCTGACAATTCACAGAAAATTTTGTTGTGCTGTTGTAGTGGCCTACTCATCGTAATGGATTTGGCCAGGATTTCTGGACTAAAAGATGAAGAGTTGAAAGACTTTTTACGACTTTGTGGATTGCGTGTAACGGGAAAGAAAGAAGAATTAGTGGCAAGAGTTTTCGTTGCCGTTGAAAACAATGTGCCTGTGCAAAAATCAGCCGATGCTGTCCAGCATGAGATTGCTGAAGAATACGCAGCAAAGTTGTTTGTTGCTGGAAACCGAATACCAGACCCACTAACGTTGACGCATGGCTGCCTAAGTGAAGAAGATAGTGTTCGATACTGGCCAGTTACTCTCTATCCAGACATTTTCAATTTTCTTGCCTTTCACCCAAATGAGCTTGCCAGTACTAATCTTAGTGACTACAAGACATCAAAAGCCTACAGTTACTTCTCTCAAGGATGGCTAGCACCATTGCAATTTCATGGTATTAATTGGGATAGTAAAATATGTCTCCTAAGGGGAACATGCAGACCTTTGCAAAGAGTAAATGATGTTCCTCACAAGTTGTGGCTTTGCCTCAGTAAAGAATCAGGCAAAATAATAACAACTC